ACAGCTCACCTACATCATAGCTCCCCCTCTCACAGCCCCCCCATATCACAGATTCCCCCCTCAGGCATCACAACCCCCTTCCCCCAATATTCTTCACTCTCCACTGAGTGCGTGAGCTGTCCAACTCTTCTTGTTAAAAGGGGAGTGACCCGCTTGTTAATATGAAAGGTTCGCTCCCCTCCTCTGCTCCCTTTGTAGACCTGCAGTGCCTCTTGCTCTCCTTCCTGCTCTAAGATCTGCGGCGGCGGCAACAAGCCGGAATATTCAGAAGAGGAGTCCTTCCTTCCATTCATCCTGCCCTCTTCCCTGCTGTGACTTCAGCAGCAGCGGTGACTACAGCGGTGGCAGGCAAGTGCGTACAGAATAGGAGTCCATCCTGCCATTCCTCCCGATTTCAAACAGCTGCAGCGGGAGGGAGGAGTCCACTCAGGCTGCTAAGTAGTGTGGCTGCGTTCCGGACAGGACTGTCACCTGGTCCGTATTTGGACCATGGTCCGCCATTTAGTGATGCCTAATGTAGATACTGTATTGGTTTCGAAATTTTAGGTCCAGAATGGGGCAATTACTCAATTCAGTTTTGGACTGTGAATACATTTTAGTAAAACTCTTTGAACTTTTCCTTTGCGCAGACTAGGATTACCACTTCTTGTGCCTGAAGTTGACTCATGGCAATACACAAATCTGCCTATCTTTGAGTTGAAGCTGGCAGATTGAAGGGTAGGAATCAAGGAGGGGGTAGAGATAGAAATCCTATTTTTGTAGTCCTTGGAAATGATAGAAAGGACCCTGTGGACTGGGTTTCCATAGGCTATAACTCAGCAAAGCGTTTTGGAGGAAGGAATACCTTTTAATATATTGGCCAATCCTCATGTAAAACATGGTTAATTTGTGTATGCAAGGGAAAGGTCTTTCTACACTTCACCAGTGTTTTTGTGCCCATAGGAGTGTGTTTAGCCTGAGGAGATTCTGGTGTTGTTAGGCAAAGGTTAGTATGCACCACATCAGTAAGTGAACTCACAGTAGAATGCATATAGCGTCAATCCCTAGCTTGTACCTCATAAAATTCAGTGGGAGAGAATTCCTCTTTAAAGTCCTCACATGCAACTACCTCACTGTCCATATCATCCTCCAAGAGGTTAGAAGCTGCAGCTGAGGAGATTCAGATAGTGTAGAGACAGAAGAGTGCTTTTGTGACATGGAGACTGAAGGTTATAGTGGAGTAGAGAGAGACATAGTTGAATTGAAATCTGCCTTAGTCGAATAGGTACCCATTGCATGCCTGAGAGGGAACTAGAATAAGAGGGAGGAAGCTGTATCGGTAAAGAACCTCAGTATGGGAGAGTGCTCACATTACAGATCAGCCCTACTATTGCAGGGTTTGGGTACAGTTCCCAAGATACATATCAAGGGTAAACTGATCTGGAAACTGCTGGCGAGCCCTAATGCAATAAGCAGTTGAATTTTGATAGAAGTATCAGTCAAAGTAGTTGAGCTCACCTTCCTGGATTCCCTGTATGCTTTATAGCTTCTACTCTGTTGTTTACTTTCAATTTCCAAGAAATATATATCCAATATGTACCTGTCTGTAATCAGTAATTCATGTATTGACTTTGCCTCCTGAAACTCCTCCTTTCAGAACCTCTTTAGTTCAGAAGGCAGGATCTGTGAACTCTGACACAGCAGTGTACCTAAACATAAGGCATAGTGAATACATGTCACAGAATTCAAGGAATTATATGTGTGGCGATAGTCAGTTTACAAACTTCAAGATTGTTCAAATTAACAGGAGTAGGGTAGAAACAGTTGAAAACAGATGTGGAAATTAATATATGACTAACATTTTACCATAGATACACTTTAAAAATAAAAATAAATGTTTTTGAGAACATCTTCATAGGAGACATCCATCACCTAAGGACTCATCAGCAAAACCTGGATTCCAAGTGGGTGGGGTTATATGAGGATGCACTAGGGGTGTTTTCAGCAAAGCTTTTGCAAGTGTCCGTTCCTCTGACGGTAGCAGCATATAGCCCATGGTCTATGACTTGCTGTCCCATGTCCTTTACTGTACGATTAAGGATTTTGGTACCCAAATATATAAAATCCCTTTGTTGGAGTCCATTGAGGGACATAGAAAATTGTAAAATTTGGGTTATAATGCTGCCTGCAAAAGGATTGGACACTGCCAAGCAAAAAAAAAAAAAAAAAAAAAACTGTGGGTTAGCGCAAGATAAGCCCTCTTATTACCAATTACTCAATTTTATAGCAAAACAGTACAGAGCATGATCATAAACAAAGAGGGGTAGTCCCTCGATAGTCTCCAAGAAAGGGATTTTATAGGGTGTACAGAAAACATGTTTTCTTTCTTGTCCACTGAGGGACACAGGAAGCGTTTAACCTTCGTGACATACAAAAGCAGTCCAAATGGGAGGTGGGCATCACAGCAAATGCATCAAGAAAACAGCAGAAAACTGGGGAATGCATGCAGCTCAATGAACTGCCTTAAAGACATTAAGCCCGAGGATGGCATCAGAAAAGGCAGAAAGTCAACTCAGTAGGGAATGCGTCAACTGAAGAAGTGGTGGCAGCCTTGAAAATTTGAAAACAGTTGCTTGATGCTGAAAAGCACAAGAAGTGCTCACAGATCTAGCAGTGTGCACTTTGACAGGAAAGGATGGAACCCAGTCCTTGAGGCCATGACCATGAACTTGAATGATGGTCTGTCTGAGCCACCTAGGAGATGGTGTAATAGAAAGCCAGTGTACCTTTTCAGGATCTAGCCAAGATGACAAAGAGAAATCAGTCTTTTTGAAAGAAGCAGTGACTGAGAGATAGACTTCCACAGTCCAAACCACATCCAATGGAGGGAAATTTTCTTTTGGTGAATTCGAACCAGACAGAGGGATGAAAACCTTGTGGGTAAGAGTAGAGAGAGGAATACCTCTAACGAATTCAAATGGTGGTATATAAAGTGCAGAGCAAAACCAGGTTCATGTCACACAGAATCATTAGGGAATGGATGTGGGGGTGGGGGTCTACATGGGAGACTCCCTGTACAAAGGTCTTAATCAAAGAGTGAGACGCCAATGGTCTCGCAAACAGGATAGAAAGGGCAGAAACCTGACCCTTGCCAGTGCTGAGAGCCAAAAACTGGTCCAGACCCAGCTGCAGAAAGGAAAGGATTAGTCCTATAAAGAAATTCCTGAGCTGAAAGCCCCAGAACACAAACCAAGTGATGTAAGCCTTCCACATCCAAGAATAGACCTAATGGAAGGTAGATTTACAAGCTCTGACCATCATGTAAATCATAGACTCAGGCATGCTGCTGTCCCTCGAGAGTGCAGGAAGGTAAAAAAACCTTCAGCCTTTACAACCATTTAACTGCTTAAGGACCACCCTTAAGCATTTAAATCACTGATGGGGGGGGGGGGGGGATTGTTTTGTTTACAAACCATCTTCCTCTCTGTCAGCTCCAGCACACTCCTGTTCAGTGTGCTTACAGTGAAGAACTCACAACCCGCCCAATAGTAAAACACTCCCAGCACACAGTTAACCCTTTGATCACCCCTCACATTAACCCCTTCCTGCCCAGTGCCATTAGTACAGTGTCAGTGCTTTTTTTTTTAGCACTGATCACTGTATTGGTGTCAGTGACACCAAGTTAGTTCCCCCCAGTGTCAGAATGTCCGCCGCGGTCCCACTAAAAGTCGCTGATCGCCACCATTACTAGTAGAAAAAAAAATCCCATTATCTATACCGCCATTTGTAAATGCTATAATTTTCATGTAAACCAATTTACACGTATCAGGATTTTTTTTTAGCAAAGACATGTCACAGAATACATTTTGGCCTAAATTTATGACAAAATTTTATTTTTCAAATTTTTTTTTACTAGACATGTTTAATAGCAAAAAACATTGTTTTTTTTCTCAAAATTGTTGGGTTTTTTTTGCTTATAGTGCAAAAAATTAAGAACGCACAGGTGATCAAATACCACCGAAAGAAGGCTTAATTTGTGGGGAAAAGAATGTAAATTTCATTTGGGTGCAGCGTGGCATGACCGCACAATTGTTAGTTAAAGTAACGCAGCACCGTAACGCAAAAAATGGCCTGGTCATGAAGGGGGGTAAATCCTCAGGAGGGCAAGTGGTTAAGGATAAACACTCACCAAATTTGCATGCCTATCTTGTAGCTTGAACAGCACCAGGAGAAGTATTCCTCCACTGCCTGCACACAAGGTAGCTCCAGACCCACAGGCAAGAAAAAAGGTTTCACATGGTGTAGTATAGTTATCATAAATCATTTATTGTGGACAGTGAAAATAATCTCACAAAAGTACAGCAGACTGAGAACATATGACAAAAACCAAACATGTGGGTGGATACTGTGGATCAGTATAGTGCTAGCTGTAAGCTAAGGAATCCACTGGCCGCTCAGCTCCAAGCCATTCACAGCACACAGAGAACCTAAATCACCATGTCTTATGCAAGCCATAGACGGGGAGAAAAAACGGCCGATTTTTCTTTTAAAAAACGAAAAATCGGTCGTTCAAAAGCGGCCGACGTTACCAGCAATGGTAAAAAAAAAAAAAAAAATCGGCCGATTTTCATCCGTCTACAGCCGGCAAAAAGTGTCCCTGCAGAGAGCTCTGCTATTTCTTTGACAGTTCTTTGACAGTTCCTTGACATTTACAGCGGTTGCAACAATGTATCTATTTGTATCCATTTAGGATACAGATGTTTTTATTCGGAAACAAATAGATACAATGTTGCAACCGCTATAAATGTCAAGGAACTGTCAAAGAACTGTCAAAGAAATAGCGGAGCTCTCTGCAGGGACACTTTTTGCCGAACTGGAATTCCTCTTATTTTTCATCCTTCTTCTTCATCATCATCCTCTTCTTCTTCATCATCCTCTTCTTCTTCTTCATCATCATCCTCTTCTTCTTCTTCATCATCATCCTCTTCTTCTATTTCTTCTTCTTCATCGTCCTCTTCTTCTATTTCTTCTTCTTCATCCTCATCCTCTTCTTCTTCTTCATCATCATCTTCTTCTTCATCATCATAATCATCCTCTTCTTCTTCTTCATCATCATCCTCTTCTTCATCATCTTCTTCTTCTTCATCATCTTCTTCTTCATCATCATCCGTTTCTTCTTCTTCATCATCATCCTTTTCTTCTTCTTCTTCATCATCACCCTCTTCTTCTTCATCATCATCCTCTTCTTCTTCATCATCCTCTTCTTCTTCATCATCATCATCCTCTTCTTCTTTTATCATCATCATCCTCCTCTTCTTCATCATCCTCTTCTTCTTCATCATCATCATCCTCTTCTTCCTCTTCTTCATCCTCTTCTTCTTTTTCTTCTTTTTGTCTTCCTCTTGCAGGTCACTGCTCATGCGCAGATTTTTTATCGATAAAAAATCGGCCGATTTACCCATCATTGCCGCGAAAATCGGCCGATCGGCAAAAACGGCCGATTTTTTTTCCAACTTTACCGATTAAAAAAAAAATCTGCCAAAATACCGAAAAACGGCTGAACAAATAGCCCACTAACGACCCGAAAATCGGCCGATTTTATTTTCGGCCGAAAAATCGGCCGATTTTCGACCCATCTGTGGCCTGCATTAAAATGTCTGGCTCCACCCTTTGGAGTTGAATGGCCAGCATATTCGTTAGCTTACAGTTAGCACTAGAAACAGGCTGAGGCAATGCCAACCACACCTGGAAAGAACTCTGCAGCTAACTTTGACCATAATGGAGTCTAGAAAGTGCTGCAGGGGGAATACAGAGCCTAAAGGCAACTTCCATTTATCCCAGCAACATCCAGTCCTGCAGGGTGCAGATGCTGTGCTCCAAAAATTATGCTGAGGACAACTGTACCAGATAACTGTAATCAAAGAAACAAACCACGAACAGTGATATAGAGAAATGTCTTGATTAGAAAAAAGAAGAAAACATGACCATGCTCCTAGGACATTAGCAAAAACTATGGAGGCACCAATATAACATAAAAAGGGAAAAAAAAAAAAAAAAAAAAAAACCTACTGTCTCTCTCAATGGCTCAATATTTTAGTGCAATATTTACATACATTGCAAATGATCTGTGTAGTACATACCTAAAGATAAGCTGGCTTTCTTCATACAAGTTTATATGCTGACATCTGATGTACTTGGACAGGCTCTTCATGTCCCCTATTACAAGTCTGGACTCAATATTTCCCTTCTCCTGCTGTGTCCCTTTAACTTCATCCAACCATTTGAAGTACTTACACTGATCCTCTTTAGGAGCATCGCATGTATAAAAGAATCTACCCTGGGGTTAAAAGGAAATTGAATATTTATTCAAAAAATTTATTCTCACAAATTAATCAGTTTGTTTTTTTGGCCTGGCCACAAATGTAACTTTCTAAACTGAGTTCAATATAAATGTGTTACCTTATTGGGGCCTTCTTTTCTGACCATAACAAGCTTGGCAGGTTGCTGATGCAGACAGAGTGGAGAAACATTATCCTTTCTGTTGATCTCATCAACTACTGATGATGTGTAGCATGATATGTCCACTTTGGAGATAGCTTTGTGTAGCCTCTGTGACAGCTCAAACATTATAATGTTTAAATGTTCTGTAAAGGAAAACAAAATAGGCAAAAATTATTATGGCACCTAAAAACTACACCTGTCCCCAGCTGGAGAGGGAAAATAACTTCCATAAAAACATTTGAGGTCTATACACATGACATATACGAAAAACAGGATTATTTCAGTCAGTAATTTGATATTTCACAATATTTTAATAATTATTTTTGACAATCAAATAAAAGCTTACTTGAAAAATCTAATTTTATGTTATGGTTCTGCCTGCTGACCATCTCTTTCTTGCATGTTTTGCATTTCTATGGACTAATTCCATGTTACTTTACTGCCTGCAAGCATGATTCCTGTATTGGCTCTAACTTCTGAGACTCAAGCTTCCAACACTTCTGTGTGAATTCTGTTACACAGAAGTGTCTATCAACAGGGCATAGTGAATAAATGTCATATAATTCAAGAAAGTAAATATGTGTGGATCTTCACAAAGTAAGCTTACAAACTTCAAGATCATTAAAATGAATATGAGTAAGCAAGAAGTAGGTTAAATACAATGTAGAAATGAACATATGCTCTTACATTTTGAGGACAATACAAACCAATGCCATTGAGGACATACATTGAGGTTTTAAGATGTGCTGTCTCTAAAAATACAGGTAGTCTGCAAGTCTGCCTTTTACATTTGACTTTGATCAAAGTTTAAGCAAAACTACACTGCATCTGAGCACCACAAACCAGAAATGCTATTTAAATCATTTAAGGCTTAGAGCTCGTTTACACTTGCTTTAAAATGTGGCATTGGACACGCTTTTTTTAAGCACTCTGAATACCAAACAAAGCACCAGTTACTAAGTAGAATGGTCAGCTTACAGTTCTGTTTATACGTTGCTATTGCTTTGCTTCAAAAATTATAATCCATGTTTCTTTCTTGGTGCTTCAAAGTGTTTCAAGAGCCTCCACAGAAGTCAATGACAGAGCTCACTAACAGCCCCTGTAGCTTTTGAGGGGCTTTTAATCAGTTAGCTTCTCTTTGTTTTGGAGGTATTGCAGGTATTAGATATTCTAGGATACGCTTGGAAACCAACAAGGGAACCGGAAAGATGTCATCAGCAGTAATTTCCGGTTCATGTGTATATATTCTGGAAGTGTCTGGTGCAAACGTCACATCTGTAGTGTGGAGCAGCAGAAAGGTGAGCGGGGTCCAGACCAGAGCGGAGCAACTAGCAGACGGCACACGTGGTGTGCAACATGGGAATGCTATAGCGGAAGGTGAGTGGAGCCTGTAGAGAGAGGACTGAGCAGCAGAAGATCAACAGAGCAAGGGGACCAGAGCAGAAGAAACTAGTATTGTCACATGTGGTGCACAGAGTGGGAGCAATATAGCAGGATGTGATCGGGGACAAGAGAATCAGCAGAGCTGGGGGTTACTACGGAGTGGAGAATCAGCAGAGCTGGGGGTTACTACGGAGTGGAGAATCAGCAGAGCTGGGGGTTACTACTGAAATGGGAATGAGTAGAGCTGGAGATTACTACTGAGTGGAGGATCAGCAGAGATGAAGGTTACTACTGAGCGGGTTACCAGCAAAGCTGGGGGCACTACTAAGTGGGGGGCACGGCACGCTCCCAGCACAAAGACTGGGGTGTCAGTGAGAGCCCTGGGTCCCATTCTAATGATTCTGTGTAACATGATCACTGTGAAAGCCTCTGATTGGATAGCACAATGATCAGTCACTATGAAGCCTGCCCCCCTTGTTTTCTCTCTCTGAATGGAGGAGAGATACATTGTATCTCTCTGTCCTTTCAGAGAAAAAAAAAAAAAGTGTTTGTAAATAAATAAAATAAATAAATAAAAATACCTAGATCAAGGTTTGACCTAGGTCAGTGCCAGGGTCAAAGGTAAGGGTCAGTATTTTTTTTTGTCAGGGTTAGTGTTTGGGTCAAAGGTCAGGGTCAAATATTTTTTTTCCAATTTTTCAATTAGTATCAGTTAGTGGCAAGATAAAAAAAAAAGCAAAATACGCACTATTGTTTCTGGGCCGTACTACAGGTACAAACAACAACTAATATACACATATGTGATATTGCTGTGATTGTCAGGAGCAGGAGGAACTAATTTGGATGGTAGTAGTAGCAAGAAATTTACAACTATATTAAGAAAAACATTTTTTTTTTTTTTTTACTATTTTGGGCCAGTTTTCCTTTGATAATAAAACAATCAGGAGATACCCATTACCATTTACCCCAAATGAAAGCCCAATTTGTCCTGAAAAAAAACAAGGAATAGTCCACCTAGATACACAAAGTAGTTTGGATATGTACAGTTTTGCTAACACATGCCAAAGCTGCAAAATTGTGCTTAGGCTTTAAGATTTGTTTTCCCTTAAGGGGTTAAACTGACATGCTTTGACAGCACATGTACTGAGATGATGTTACTCTAGGTTACCTCCCTAATCACCTCTATAGAATATGACTTTTATTAGCTATTTTTAAAAAATGCCCATTCCTGTACCATTTGTTGGTATTGATGGAGCAATCCAGTTTTGGTTATTTAAATACAGTCAACTGGTTCCCATAAGGGCCAGTTTTAAAATCTACCATTCTAAAAGCAATCCTCAATAATGAATAAGCTATAAAGCCTGATTACACTGTTTACTGTAAATAAATATTACTCTTTATGTACCCAAGAAAGCTCAACAATAACAATCAGTACTGCGGTACAGTAGAGACTCTCTGTAATTGGGTGGCTTAGATGAGTAACACTGAATCTTATTTGAGGATTCATGTATATCCTTTTACAATGATAGAAATAATATTGTAAATTGTTTTTGCTAAGGGCATTTTGTAGAATCCTTTACTTCTAGCAGCCGTATATCTTTACATAATAAACCAGTAAAAGAAAGTGTGCAATGAAACAATTCTTTCCACCATGTACTGCAAACAATGGGACAAACGCGAACATTTGCTGAGGTAATCTAACATACTGTATATTTAATTCTAATTAAATCAGCCAAGAGCATATTTTTATCAAATATTTATTGCATGTTCTGAAAATTGGTCTGTGTGTGGTCAGCTCTACTGTAGAGATTAGGAGATAATCAGATAATCAGGAGATAAACGCATTCAGTAGCTGCAGGAGGAAAACATTCATTATGCTATTCAAATTAAAAGATTCAAAATTCAGAACCATTTTATTTAATTGTGGCCCATAACCGGTTACCAAATCATTTAAGTGGCCCTCGATCTTCAAAATATAATCTGTATGCCATACAGTTTTGAAGCCATCAGTTTCAAAAACATTTATCTTGGTCTCATCACTCCAAATCAGTTGGGGTGTATTCATTTATGCTGAACACTACACACACACAAAAAAGTATCGGGACGCCTGCCTTTACACGCACGTGAACTTTAATGGCATACCAGTCTTAGTCCGTCAATATTGAGTTGGCCCATCCTTTGCAGCTATAACAGCTTCAACTCTTCTGAAAAGGCTGTCCACAAGGTTTAGGAGAAGGCCTGGCTCACAGTCTCTGTTCTAATTCATCCCAAAGGTGTTCTATTGGGTTGAGGTCAGGACTCTGTGCAGGTTAGTCAAGTTCCTCCACCCCAAACTCGCTCATCCATGTCTTTATGGACCATGCTTTATGCACTTGTGCACATTCATGTTGGAATAGGAAGGTGACATCCCCAAACGGTTCCCAGAAAGTTGGGAGCATGAAATTGTCCAAAATCTCTTGGTTGCTGACGCCTTAAGAGT